TTTACTGCTTTTTTTTTGCCTTTTTTCCTCCCTCAATTTAGGCTGTGTAAATTCCTCAGTTTCACTTTGTTTTTTCCCATATCAGTAAAATGTGGATGTTAGGAATTTCAGCATTACAGAGGACTACAGCGTTTGGGGAAACATGTAATTTGAAGGGACAAAAGCTTGTGTTACTTTCTCGTTGCATTAAATAATGATGTCTTTAAAATTAAATGGGATGCTTAAATAATTTGACTTACGCAAAATTTACAAACCTACCAGGGTTTAGTGTGTCTTATTTTCTTTTTCTATTGGGATGTGAATTTTTTTATTTTATTTTTTTTGAAGGGCTAGCGGGAAAGGAGTCAGAGTAATTCAGAAATTACGCACCCATCCAGCAGAGAAGCCCTTCCAGGTTTTGAATTCACAAGAGTATAGGCAGAAGTGAAGGAAATAGAGTTACAAATCTGTAATTTTCAGTTGCTGTGTGCTGGAATCCTCCACTACTGAAAGCGTTCGGTCAACACAGGTCTTGCCAGTGAGCTGGAGTTCCTTCGGAGCTGTTTCCACCTGTTCATGGAACAGACTACTTAAACTGAGTGTGCCTAAATTTTTTTTGAAGTGGAGACATGGTAGCTGATGTTCTAAATCTAATTAGGAAAAAAAGGGAGGGAGGCTAACTGCAAAGGGAATATTTTTTCATTCTGTACTGTTATGTTCAGGGTCAGTAACTGAAGAGAAAGCTGGTACGGTCTCAGTTGTTTTTTGAGAAGGATTATATTGTATTTCCATTACAAGGTTTTCAGGACAACTAACGATATGGAGAGGTAGGGAAACACCTTAGAACTAGTGGAAAGTTTAAAAATACTTAATCCTCTTCTACTTTGGTCGCATACTTGTCACGTGGCCCAGCTGGTTTTTTGGTTTAGACGTACCTACATCTTCTGGCTCTGAATCTGTGTCCGGTTTAATCTCCTCTCAAATTTACTGCCTTCCTAGAAAGTGTAACTCCAGTCCGTAGCGTTCTGTGTGAAGGTGGTCCTTAGGCCCTTTGGCAGAGGGGATTGCGCGTCCTCTGCCAGGAACTGAAGAGGAGGCTTTGGTGGGCAGGTGGACGGGGCTGGAGCGGGGACGTCGGGCGTGCTTCGCTCTGCCCAGTCCACGTGTCGGGCTTTGCAAAGCAGGAGCTTTCCTGTGCTCTCGGCCCGGGCAGCGCGGGGCGCAAGGGGCTGCCCAGTGGGACGGCTTTCCCTGTTGTTTACTGACCAACCTCGTTTACTGCTTGGGAATGGGAGGGGGTTTTTTCACCTCCAATTTTTGGCTTTGGCAAAGCTAGGCTGGCAGTTTTGGCTGCAATATATAGATCTTTGTAATTTATTATTCTGGCTCATCATATTAAAAATAAATGAGAGCTGAATTTCGTTCTCTGTGCCTGCCAAACAAGGGAAAATTAGGTGACCCAATTATGTCCACTTGCAGTGTGTTGGGTGCAGCAGGACAAGCTTGTAGGACTTAGTCTTTTAGCGCAGTTTGAAGAATGTAATCATTTCAGACTAAAAGTACAGCTTTTGAAATGCACGGCTTAGTCTTTTTCGTGAGAAAGGAATTGAATAATAGCATTGGAGAGTAGAGCCGTGCCTACCTGCAAAATAGATAAGGTATTGGCAGCCCAGACTTTCCTGTTGGCTCTGAACATCTGCCTCACCCCTAGCTGGAGAGACCAGTTCCAGATCTGACACAACGGTGCGTTCTCTAGGGCTTCACCAGCCTGTGGCAGGTCACCCTTTAGCACTAGTAAGTCGGAGTATGATTGCCAGAAATTGTGCTGAGACCCCAGGATTTCTTCACTCAGGCCAGTAAGTCTCAGTGAACGTTTAACTGGGCTCCTCAGTCGCTTTGGCCATTTGTTCTTCTGGACACACGGCTTTCCAGCTGAGTTCCGTCCATGCTGTGGGAATTCTGTCAGTCCAGTACATGGTGGTTCTTGTTTTTCTATCTCCCTGTCTGCTGAAAATACAGATTGAAATGTTATCTTTCAAGGAGAGTTTCTCATATGCAATATAATAGATCTGGCAAGAATAGGTAAATTAATTAATTCTGTGTTTTAACTGTAAACAGTAGGATTCATTAGTGCTGTTGATAAAAGTTGGTTTCTGATGTATGGGATGTGCACAATTTGTTTTTATCTTCGCTCATCAGCTGACAGGTAACTGCCAGCACCCTGCATTTGGCGTGTTGCATCCTGATGCTGGTTCAGTTTCCTTATGCTGTTGTAATTCAGTGACAGGTACTTGAAAAACATGTTTCTTTTCAATTATCGTGCCTTACGTTTCGCTTAAAAACTCATTTAACCTAGCGATATTTGGGGAAGCAGCTTGATCTCTTAAGTGATAGAACCTAAAGCTGAGGTTTAGACCTTTTTCCGTATCCCATATGGGCATCTCTGAACTTGCAAACGTTGCTTCACTGCTTTTAAGTCTTTCTCTGTGTTAAAAAGTGCCCTTTGTAGCAATCTCTGCCCCAAGTGTAAGCCATTGTAAGAAAGTAGAATTATTTAGGACAGAAGGATAAGGATGGATTGAAACTGGAGTCTTTGTGCTTGGAGTAGTTTTCATTTCATTTCCATGGTGAAGGACCTTGCATGGTTTTGTCTGTTCTTGAATCCTGGTTGGGAATGTAAGCCCGTTGGGCCGAGAAGCATTTTGATGGCAAGGTTGAGAAATGGGGTTTATGTTCTTGTATTCTACTGACAGCTAAGATTTGACAGAACCTGGTGACCAGGAGAAAATCTGAATCTTGCTTTCCATGGCAGAAGTGCTGGTTGGTGTCAGGAGCCCAAGCAGCTGCTGGTAGTAGCTGCCTAAGCGGGAAGTGAGACAGACCTGCCCAAGTCCTGCAGCATGAACAGGCTAAGGGAAGCCACTCGTTTGGACAGAGACAAAAAAATTGAGCATAGGCAAAATGAACCATCTTCTGACCTTGCAGGAATAGGAGGTGGACAGAGGTGAGCAAAGAAGCAGAATTCAGAGCTGGTAATTGCAACTGAGGCAAAGAATTCCCGTACCTGGAGAATGCAACAGGGATGGAGCGTTATGTAGCACACGGGTCTTGAAAAGGTGAGGCTTTTAGGGTTGTGAGCAGAACTCATGTACTAGTGATTCAGTTGTTCCTCAGCTGTCTTGCTAAACTTCCTCCTGTTTTGCAATTCTTGCACCCCCAAAATAGACAGTTGCAAAATATGTTTAGATCTTATTTCTTAGGGTTCATTAGAGATGAATGTGGAAATGTTGGCGTGTAGTTGAAAATGTTAGAAGTGTGAGCTGCCATTTCGATTCTCAGCTGAATTCCTCTGCGTTTATAGGGCTAGGAAAACATACGATCTTTCTGTTTTCCTTTGTGTTTGGTGTTAAATATAACAAGTGCATCTCTGAAGCAGTTACCTCCCGTGCTCTAATCCTTTTCTTTAGGAAGGAGTTCCCACAGTTACCCGGTGAGTATTTGTACAGTGAGGGGGGGCGTCTTTGAAGTCCATAGAAATGAGAACAGCAATTAGTTACTGCAAATGGTCCTGGTGTCAGAGCTGTAGATAATCTTTCTTGGGACTGCTGTTGCATATTTAGAGGGCGAGAACAGTGGGAACTAATTAGTGAGGTAGGGCTTAAATAATCTTTTCAGAGCAAGCAATTTCTCTCCTCTGGAGAGGTGAAATGATTCTTTTAAGCCATTGATAAGACTCAGCTGCTTCCAACACTTGTTAGTAAGAGGCATTGCAGAGAACCGCTGGGTGAAGCTCGCGGGTGTTTTGCGTTCAGCGTTTCTCTGATGAACCTGGTGCACAGAGCAGCTGAGTAGCTCTGGCTACTCCTGTCTTGTTTCCCTGCCTAGTAAAGACATCTGCGTGGGGTGGCAAACAGCCACGAAAGAAATTGAATTAATCTAGATCTGCCTTTGCTTTGTTGATCACAAAGAAAAAAAGAGAGAGCGTGTTTGGTGAATTGAAGCTGAACTTCCTTAACAAATGGTGCAGGTGTGCTTCTCTTCCCTAATCAGAAACTCTTAATTATTGCGGGTGGGTTGGACTAGATGACCTTTAGAGGTCCGTTCCAACTTAACGCATTCTATGATTCTGATTAAGCAGAGCAACTCACACTACTAATGACACTATTCCAGCAGGGATGCTGTCTGAGTAGCAGGCACTTGCTATTTTATTGCACGTTACAGAGGACTTGAACTGTCGCTTCATTTGTGAGGTTGAGCTCCTTGTCTTAGAGGCTGATGTGATGGATAGGAAGAGTTAAAAATTCTTACCGTGCTGATACCCCATGTCAGTGGTAAAATACATTCAGAAATAGGTCACGTCTGAAAAACAAAAAGAAAAAAAAGTCTGTAACTCTTAGCTGCTGGTGAACAGTGAGATTGGTATGAAAAATTCTGTGCAAAGGGTCTTCCAGCCCAGCGTTCCAGTTGCCAGTCTTTGTAATTGCTATATTCACGTAACACGTGTATACTTGAAAACAATAATTTTGGTCAAAGTCAGCATACTTGACATTTCTCCCTAGTTCTCTGCAAATCTTGGGTAAGCTACGCCTATTTATTTTTATTTTTACTAGAAGGAATTACATGTCATCATTACTGGCTTTTCCAGGGAGTTGAGTTTTATGCTGAAAACTTCTTAAAGAATGCAAAGCTTGAATGCATTCCATTCTGAAGTGATTGGGAATGTCGTTGGTATGGTTGGGGCGTGAATCTTGCAGATGAAGAATGGCTTGACCTTTAAAAATCTTATTCTTTAAAACTGAAAGGGGTCTGCAAGCTCCAGACCAGTCTACAGTTTTGTGAATTTTGGCTAGGCCGTGTTCTGAGGCAGACTGGGATTCAAAGCGTGTTGGATTGAAGGCTCTTTCTGGTGCTCAGCTTTGTATTTTTCTGTAATGCTTTGCTCATTTGTTTTCACAGGGCAGTTTCCTCACACATTTTTTCCAGCTACAATCATTAATCGGGACTGAACACGCAGGTTATCTGATCTTCTGTGGTTTTTAGAAGCAGGTACGTTGGCAGGGAAATCTGGTGGTTTGTTGGTTGGGGGTGCGGGGGGACGAAAGCTTCGTTTTTCTCTGTGCCAAAAACAATTGTAGGGTTAGGGAAATTCTGCTTAAGGAATGTTTTGTTATGTATAGCATCTGAATGCAGCTTTCTTGAGAAAGCAAACCTGGTAAGTACTTTGATAAGATTTTCCAGTTCTTGGTTTGTTAAGGTGGGTCCTGCTGTCTCCTGGGCATCAACTGGTTTCTAAGTGGTTTTTGGAAATTTACTGATGTGGTAATATATGCTGGGTAGTTGTCATCCTAAATGATGTCTTATAACAGCTTCATGTAACAGGGACAGGGATGCTCAAGTTTTTCATGCTGTGGTCTCAGCACTGTCTTAAGACTTCTGTCTTTTCACTTTGCTGTCGTCAAGTAGAAGCTGTGGTGGCCGAGGCTGTCACCCAAAATAATTGTGCAGTGTTTGAAGAGCACGTGCTGTTACTCTGTAATCTTAAATTTACCTCTTTACACATATATTTTGATAGCTTTTGAGCCATAACAAGTGCTTTTTCCTCATGTTCCCTTTGTGAAGCAAGCATTCACTGAATGGGCAGGCTTTAGTATTTTTATCCTTCCTGTTAAACAGGTAGCTTCAGGAAAAATCTTGGCTGACATTTGCTTTAGATACGAATTTCCATCGCCCCTTTTTAAAGTTTGCAAAATTAATAAACAAGTGGAAGATTATTACAATGGCAAACAACGAATAATGACAGATATAGACTAGAAATAAATCTCTTGTCGTAACTGATGTATGGAAGAGTGCTGAAATGTGGTATTCCTGGCTGGCCTGGGGGCAGCCGCAGCATTTTCTTGGTGCTTGTGTGTGGTGCCACCTATTGATGGATATCCCATACAATTTACTGTATTTTTAAACAACAGGTGTATTCTCACATTTCAGGGTTTTGCTGAAAAATTGTGCTTTGTCACCTTCCCTCTTCAAGTAAAAGTATTAAAAAAATAAAAGTATTGATATAATATTCAGAACCCGTGACAACGTTTCAGGCTTACTTGATATCTTGATAAATGTTTAATGTTTTCTCAGTCTCTGGACACGCGTAACTAAATGTCTCCTACTCTGTCTTATTTTCTTCATTATTTTACTATTGACATCACTTGTTAGCACTCAGTAAATTACTCAGTAACAATCTGATCTGCTTGAGCTGACACTACACAAAAATATGGGATTGTTTTACTCCCCCTTCATAAAGCAGCTTGCTGATTATAGCAGAAAAAAACCCAAACAAGGATCACCTTGCCCGTTTACAGGCTGCAGGTTTCCAGGCAGAACCGTCTATAGCAAATCAGTGTAATGCACATCTTCCCGCTGCAAAGTTAATCAAGTGGGACTGGTGATAGAGCTTTCTCCACTTTTCACTGCTGTTATCTTCATGCTAAGTAATGTGGGTGGTAAAGCCTATCCCAGCAGCTGCTGCTGCAGTTTGCATTACTCGTGACTCACTCAGGAGGGCCTATGTGTAATTTTAAACTTCTTCCACACCCAGATTACTTCCCCCTAAAAGTAATAATGAAAATAAAGTGAGGGGAGAGGTTGGTAGTGACTACAAGAAAACATGACAGGGAAAACAGCGTGTTTGATCCTGCTGTGATGCAGTCTTTGCCAGACGTGGCTCTGTGAATGACAAATTTAACTGTTCACATTTTTAAGGATTTCTCTGATGAAGCCTGTGTTTCTGTACTCTGCCAGGCTATTAAGTGCTCTGGCAACTGGTGAAAAATAGGTAGTTTGGAAATTAAACTTTTCCTGGTTTACTCCATTACCTATTTTAGTTTGTCTTTTTCTGATCTTCTGTCTTCAGGAAATCCAGGAGCTGGCAGGAGGGGAATGAACCGTGAGGGCGTCCCCGGAAAGAGTCCGGAGGAGATGTATATTCAGCAGAAAGTGAGAGTCCTACTCATGCTGAGGAAGATGGGATCAAATGTAAGATGCGCTCTCGTAGCCTGTATTTTGTGGCTTTCCAGACAGTGTTGTAGTGACTGGGATAGTGGTTGCTGAGATAGGCAGGTGATGGTCGGGTTTTATTGCTGAATTGTTTTAACAGTTACTGATTTAACCAGTGATTGCGCTTTAAAAATATTATGGGGCTGGAAACTAAATATTGTGGTGCCGGAAACTAAATCTGAGCATCTGATCATTTCTATATATACCACAAAACTTTTCATTATTGGAAAACCACCAAAATAAAGCGACTGTTTTAAGGTAGCTTTGAATCTATCCCTGAGTGCATGATGTACCAGTTTGCTGCTGTGTCCTTGCTGATGGTACAGTTTGCACAAATAACAGTTGATTAAACTGTTGAGTAGTAGAACAGAGGCATCTGTGACGTTTCTTCTTGGGCTGTGGGAGATGATGTCTTCAGTCTGTCTTCATTTTCTTTTTTGCTGACTGACTCTTTCTGTATTTCCAGCTGACTGCTAGTGAAGAGGAGTTCTTGCGCACATATGCAGGTGTAGTGAATAGCCAACTTAGCCAGCTTCCTCAACACTCAATTGATCAGGGTGAGTACTCGACGCGTTTGCCTTGTGTTTGGTAAATCTGTGAGAACACTCTCGGAAAATACGGAATCAAAGTTCCTGTATTTCTGTAATAATATCCCACCTACTGAAACCCATCCTGCAGTCTGAAATACGCAGGTCATTGCCTGCTGTAATCTTTGGGAGAGAGATGGAGTGATCTGTGCTACAGGTGGTTTTATTTTAACAGGTGAAGTCAGTCGTGACTGTCTCTAAGATTTGTTGAGATGAAGAGCATTGTTAAACATCTTACTCTCCATAATAGCTCCAACATTGGTGGCCAGAGTACCGTGAGCTTCCTACTCTATGCAATAAATAAAATAGAAATAATTTTTAACCTGACTGATATTTTGCTGTAGGTGAATTTAATTTCAGCTATTCATAGGTCCCTCTAGTTCTGACTGTGTGTCACTACCCTCAGTATGCATCCTCTGCATAAGATGACTTTCATCTAAATTTTTGTATTGATTCTTCAACTGGACATCTGTGCTTAAAAAGGAGTGAGACTAGTGGTTTAGCACTTCTTTTGTGTGCTTCAAACTGGGTGGCTTGCAATGAAATACAAAGTACGTACAGATTTCTAAGGTAGCAAAGCAATTTGTCGTGCCTATGATAATTTAGTTGCTCTGACTCTAGTTCCTTGATAACAGTTTTCTTACAAATCAAATGGCATCATCTGGCAACATCTTCTGTTTTTCACACTGCCATGAGTGGGGAAGTGCACCATTCCTATTTCAGCAGAGGAAGAGGGAAAGTTGAGCAATAGAAGGAATTTGTTTCCCATCGCATTCCTTTAATTTGCACAACGTAATTAATTCCCAGACAGGGGCAGTAGACATGAAACAAGTTTACAAATCTGCTTTGATTTGTTTGGATTCCCATTAAAGGGATGAAGTACGTGCTGCTTCTGTGAATTCTTTGCAGAAGTCTTAGTAAACAGTCGTGTGGTGCTACTCTGAATCTACTAATCTCTTCTGAATCCCCTTCACAGGCCTCGTGCCAAATCACATTCGTAACTTAGAATTTGGTATTGAAAGAAAATTGTGGGACTTGTCTGCCAGAAAGACAACTGAGTTGAGCAGAAATTTAATATAGATCTGAGGCGTTTAGAAAACCATTAGAAACACAACCTGCACAAACTTGCTCTTTCGTTTTTAAGCCTGTGTGTTCATTCCTCGCATAGCTGGGAGGTTGGTGGAGATAGATATACTTGTAGATATTGGCGTGGAATTCTTAAACTTTTATGCCAGTCTAAAGTGAAAATTTGCTGGTTCCTTGACAAAAACTGAGGTAGACGTATTCAGCTGAGACTGACTGTCGTAGTTGCAGTGTTGTCCCTAAAGTGGTTACATTGCACACAAGGAAAATTTATGCTGAATTACCTGCGCTTTGCACCAAGAAGAGATAATAAAAACAGAAATCCAGATATTTCATACAGCTGTGCTCCTGCACAGCTTGATCTTTCTTGTCTAAACTGTCTGGTTTTATTATCTGTAAAATTATATTTTTCTCACTTTGGAGAGGCCTTTGGAGACTCAAAAAAAAAATTGAATTTTGATATAACTTTTAAATCAAGAGAGCCAGTCTAAGGTGTCTGTTTCTAGACTCACTGCTTGTGCAATGCAGGAGGTGTAAGAGCTTCCTGCATTGTGCAAAAAGTTGTCTTTGTCCCATGTTGGAACAGCTGCTAACTGATTTCTGTCATCATTTTCTTAAGATCCTTGGAGGTTCTTAAAACCTGGTCCATAGGGAAGTGAAGTCCTCGCTGATGCTTGCTCTGATCTAATCTGAGACACTGCTGTCTTTCCTGGGAGATTTGACCCCAGAATCTGCCTTTGATCCTCCCAAATTATAATTAAGGGGGTGATCTGACCATTAAGACTTTTTTTGGTAGAGGAAAAAAGAACAAAGAAAATAGTAAAATATTTAGAGAGGGGGGAAAGGTTGTTGACTCTCTTCACACTGCGATATGCCATCTCTCCAAATGAAGTGACGGATTGCATGGAGAACAAACGAAAAGGAGGAAGCCTGGCCAAATACTCCTTCCTTTGGAGGAAGATGAAGCTGTAGCGTCCTGTAGAGACAGAAGCAACAACCATTTGTTGCTCAGGTCTTTACCTGTCCGTTATGGTAATGTCGCTCTTCGCCCTGCGCCGTGGTGGCTCACGCAGCGGCACTCCTCTGGCTGTGACTTTTGTTATATCCTGCAGCTGGTGGAAGAGGAAGGGTGGTTTAGGAAAGTGTTGGGAGCAGGGAACACCCACTGCAGCATCTGATGGTCCCTCTGAAGACAGGTTTCATCTCCACTAGATGGCATTGCCTTGTGCTGCAAGTCCCAGCCCCAGGTCCGTGCTCTGAGGTGCTTCAGTGTGCTGAGCGCCTCAAGATCCCCGGGAGGAATTGTCTTCCCTACTTTTCTGCTGTTTTCATTGAGCCTTCTCTGGAAAAAAATTATATCTATATATATTTATGTAAAAGATGTGTTATTTAAGGAGTAATGTACAAAGAGTTAGTATGTTAGTGGATTGCATGATCTTTTCTTTCGGTAGTAGGACAGATCGCTCTCAGCCTAGCTTGCCCCAGACCTATTTTAGAGTCATTTTCTTCCAGCAGCGACACAAAAGGCAGAAAGCTGATTTCATATTCCCATTTTGTTCCAAAATGGGAGTGACATTCTTGGCCTTAGCACTCTGAAAGCTTTGTTATAGACCTGAAAAATCTTTTGTGTCACTTAAAAACTCTGTAGTCTGACTCCAGAGTTGCAGGAAGGACATTTTGTTCCTTTTTTTTTTTCTTTTTTTTTTTTTTTTTTTTTGAGAGGAGTGTAGAGGATGGATGGTCTAGAATTTTAAGTGTTTCACACCCTCTGTTACAATTTTTGGGGTTTTTTTGTGGTGCACTGAACACAGACCAGCTGGCTGGTGGCCTCCTAGTAATTACCCTCAGGGAAAACTGCTGAGCTTTTCACTGCCTGATGCTCTCTGCTGGGGTTTCTGATAAAGATCTGTCAAGGTCTCTGTTGAGTCTGTCTCTTTGACCACAGGGAGTCACTGCAACCTACGTGTCCAGTCTGTGTTTGCAGCAGTGTGACAGTGCGTTGAAGAAAGAAGTTTATGCTTGTCCTTGCTGAATTCAGGTGCTTGTGCCATAAACCTTCAGTGAGCCACTATTAATAACCATATCTCTGACATTTAAAATTCCTCCATCATACTCTGCTTACTATCTTAGGGTCCAGCAGTGGAAATTAATTGCTAATTTTGATCAAGACGCATCTTAGACTACTTCTACAATTTTTAAGCAAGCCTAAAGCCTAAGACTACCCTTCAGTTTCTGCTTATTCTTACAGGAAGAGGATAAGTTAAACTCTTTTTATTTCCCGTCTTGCTTTCGAAAGAATTCATCATTTCAGACGTACAAAGTCCCTGTGGTTTAGAATTGTTGAAAGATCTCCTTTTACATTTGGAACATCTTCACTCTTGAAGTGTCTGCGGTGTGTGCTGTTCAAGTGACTCCTGTTACCCTGACAGGAAGCTTGGAGTAATCCTGATTGCATTACTGAACATCTCTGTGAAAATCAGGTAAAAATGACATATGCTGTGGCACATCAGATAGAAATTAGTTTGAGTTCTGAACCCTTTGCATTAAAAATACATTATCCATTGAAAGGTGAAGTGCTAGCAGAGGGGGGAAGATCTCAGTAATGCAGAAAAGCCTGAACAGCAGTTAGAAAACTCTAAACGGAAGTATTTACTACTTAAAGTTAGTATTAATTAAGAGACTAAGCATTGTCATGCTCTCTTTTTTATAACTGTTTTATTTTTTTGTCATTACTATAGTGTTTTTAACAGCCATGTGAAAGGGCAGAATATAGGGCGTTGTTACTTAATCAAGGAGCATTTTAGATGGCGTCTGTGAGTTGGTTTTGGTTTTGTGGCTCCAGGTATAACTGAGGAACCCGAGGGCATCTCTGCTCAGCCAGTGTTATGCTGGAGAGTGGATGTAATCTTGAGCTGTTCTGAGATGTCGAGTATTAGTCTTCTTGCCTGCATCGCAGCAACAACTAACGCAGCTCAAACTCATTGGGTTTCTTGAGCTTGAAATGATGAAATTAAGTCTTTCTCATGTATTTTTAAACAAAGTGAAATGCAAGTTCTACGCGCAGAAGCATCTCCTGCGTAAAAAAGCATATTTCCTGTTTCCTAGTTCCTTACATTTCTGAACGGGGGGCTTGCACTTGGCTTTCGAAGTTGCTGCTCTGGCAAATCCGTAAATGGAAGCCGTGCAGCTCGTAAGCGTGATATGTGAGTTATACGAAGACCTTGGTGATTACAGCTCGGTTGTTCCTATAGCAACAGGAGTGTCGTGCTGGTTCTTGAAGAAAGCTGGTCCCTTGGGGAGGGCAGAGCTGAGATGCAAACACATGCCTTGGCTGGGTTAGACGCGTTCTCTGGATGGCAAGGCGTTAAAAATGGAGCCAGGCTGCTCGCGGAGCTAAGAGGGGAACCGCGCTCACGGAACGTCAAATAAGGACGGAGAAGTGGAGATAGAGCCCTTCTTGGTGTCGTTTTATTCTTTTTGACCGTAGTGCTTTTTTATTGTGCTCTTCCTCTCAGCAGTGCACGTTGCGTTTTCAGAATGCCGAACTAGGATACTAATACTGGGAATTTCAGAGAAAAGTTAATGTTTAGAAGATAGTTGCTGGAAGATGATGAAAGAAATGTGTCCATACAAAGATCTTGAGTGAAGTAGATAGTTTGTTGTCTTTTTCTTTTTTATTCGACAGCCTTCAGAAATCCATGAAAGGCTTAACCTTCTGTTCTCTAAAGGCTTTTGGGGTTTAATTAATTTTGCAGGTGACTACAAACCGATCACATGTATGTATCTATTCGTTGTTCAAAGAACACTTGGAAATAGCAGCTGTTAAAAGTGTCAGTTCACGTCTTTTGTGTTCAGGTGGTGCCGTTTTAATCCAGCTTGTACCGTAC